ACAGCGGGGAAGCAACGTTAATTACTCTCTCTCTCTCTCTCTCTCTCTCTCTCTCTCTCTCTCTCTCTCTCTCTCTCTCTCTCTCTCTCTCTCTCTCTCTCTCTCTCTCTCTCTCTCTCTCTCTCTCTCTCTCTCTCTCTGTCTCTCTCTCTCTCTTTCTCTCTCTCTCTGTTTCTCTGTCTCTCTCGCTCCCGCTCTCTCTTCTCTCCTCTCTAGCTAACATTAAGAATTGTAGTTGCTTGTAGTTGCTTGTAGTTGCTTGTAGTTGCTTGTAGTTGCTTGTAGTTGCTTGGGTGAATGAAGCAGTAGTAACACAGCTGATGAGTGGGTTGTGCACACATCTCGCGAGATCTCGCGAGATCGCGAGGTGAGCGCACCTTCTCGTTAGCTCGTTACCAGCTTCTCTTACCTAGCGTCGAAATGGCTTCACTCATCAAGGTGTGCATCCCAAAGGTGTGCATCCCCAAGGGGTACATCCTAAAGGTGTGCATCTTAAAGGTGTGCATCCTAAAGATGTGCACCAACGGTGTGCATCCTAAAGCTGTGCATCCCAAAGGTGTGCATCCCGAAGGTGTGCATCCCGAATGTGTGCATCCCGAATGTGTGCATCCCAAAGGTGTACATCCTAAAGGTGTGCATCCCAAAGGTGTACATCCTAAAGGTGTGCATCCTAAAGGTGTGCATCCTAAAGATGTGCATCCCAACGGTGTGCATCCTAAAGATGTGCATCCCAACGGTGTGCATCCCAAAAGTGTGCATGTCGGCAATAGATGCCTTCTAACGTATCGCTTTGAGGGCTGCTCTTGTAATTCCGCTTTCGTCATTTTTTACGGGTTTTTTTTCGGCCCGGGATCGTTAAACGCATTCGAACACGAAATTTCTTCTCTCCGGTTTCTAAATCTGTATCGAGCAATTTTGTATTCATTTGATCTTTTTATTTTTCTCTGTCTCTCGCTCGCTCTCTCACTGTTTCTGCTTTTCTTCTTCTTCTTCTTTGTCGTCGTCGTCTTCTGAAAATCCTATCTCCGTGTCGCCTTTACCGTGCTGCCATCTGTTGGTTGGGCCAGGCGAGGACTATATCACCGAACCGTTGTTTGGCAAACCCATCCACGAGACGCACATCGAACTGCCATTTTTCGAAGGTCAAAAACCGCACGACGACGGTACGTTTTTGCTCCCGCAGGGGGCGCCGCGTGCCTGTGTTGGGGGACCGGCGGGGATTGCGGGAGTCGGGCACCGCATGCCTGTGTTGGGGGACCGGCGGGGATTGTGGGAGTCAGTCAGGCGCGGTATGCGTGTGTTTGGGCGGGGAGGCGACAGGAGTTGTGTGTGTCGAGGTGCCATGTGTGTGTGTGGGGAATCGATGGGGATCGTTGGAGTCAGACGTCCTGTGTGTTGCGGGGGCGACGGGGATTTTGGGAGTCAGGGGAGAACAAACAATCTCAGGGCAGTGCTGATACAGCCAATACAGTAAACACGCGCGAACGAACGACCTCGTAGGCAGGGGGCGCCACCGAATCCCACGTGCGATGCGCGGAACCGGGAACATCTCGTACACAGTAATACAGTTTGCGGGGCCTCGCGCAATTCCTATTGGTCAACGGCGGTGCGGAGCGGGGGCGTGAAAAACTCCGCGGCAGCAGCGGATGCTAGCGCGAAGCCCTCGCGGCGGAGTATTGGTACTGATGCGGAGGCTGCATGCTGTCTCCTTCACTAGCAGACGAGATGCTGGGAGATGCGTCGTACCGCTACCTGACCTCGGAGGAGATGAAGGGACTGGGAGACGACTCCGTCATGCCACACAGGGACGAGATCCTAGAGGTAAGCCGCCAGCGCCACCTGTTGGCAGTAATGTATGAATAAATACATAATATATATGTAAAATATGTATATATATATATAATATACATATATATTGTGTCTATATATAAACAATATTTATATATGTATATATATATATATATATATATTACTGCAAATAATTATATACAAAACATGTGAAATATACAAATGAAATATACGTACAAAAAACATAACACAATGTATTAATAAAACAGTATAACATAACACTAGCCATCTAATCTATGTCATAGAGTCATATGTCACAAGCATATCTAATGTCAGGAGTGAGTTAAATGAAATTTGATTGCTTGTCTTAAAATCTCGAACGTACCTGCAATTAACGATGCTACAGGTAACCCCGCACACCTGTCGTTAACCGTCATCATTACACCTGCGCACACCTGTAATTAACCTAATTAACAGGTGATCCCGCGCGATCAGCGGCAGACGCGCGACTACCTGGAAGCGGCTCCCATCATCCGACCCGAGAAAGAACGCGAACACGACAACGTCGAACACGCCCGCCAGGAGGCGCCACCGGCCGGCGAGCAGCCGCTGGAGCAGCCGCTGGTGCGCGAGATCGAGAAGGAGATCATGCTGCAGAACATCATGAACGACACGGTAGGTGGCGCCAGCGCAGCTGGGAGTGGAGAGAGAGAGATAGAGAGAGAGCGAGGGCGAGAGATAGAGAGTGAGAGAGAGAGAGAGAACGAGAGAGAGAGAGAGAGAGAGAGAGAGGAGGGAGGGAGGAGAGAGAGAGAAGAAGAGAGAAGGAGAGAGAG